GGCCCGGGCCCCTGTTAGGGGTGGGCGCCGGGCCCCTGAGAGGTGAGGGCGGCCCGGGCCCCTGGTAGGGGTGGGCGCCGGGCCCCTGTGGGGTGAGGGGGCCCGGGCCCCTGTTAGGGGTGGGCGCCGGGCCCCTGTGGGGTGAGGGGGCCCGGACCCCTGTTAGGGGTGGGCGCTGGGCCCCTGTGGGGTGAGGGGAGCCTAGGCTGGAGAGTGGGCGCTGGGACAAGGGAGCCTGGTGTTTGGGAGAGGAGTGGGGCAGGGAGTGAGCCCCACAGTGCAGGGAGAGGAGGGCAGCCCCCAGGATAGGATGCTAGGAGTAGGTGAAGCGAGGCCAGTTCCTGGGAAATGCGGTGGGAGCTGGGTCCTTGTTCCCATCAGAAGGTCCTTGAACTGGAGTGGACCTTCCTCAAGGCAGGAGCTGACCCTGCCCTTTGCAGCAAAGTATTTCTGCTCTATGCTGTGAACGGCCTGAGGACTGGAGGACGCTCAGGAAAGATGGGGTGTGGTCCCTTCTTTTTTGTTAGGTACCAAAAATGTGAAACACTTCCCATACAAAACTGTGCAGATTAACTGCTTTGCATGCATTTGCCTTTGTGGGGCAGCCTCTGTGCTGCAGGGTGTCCCTGTGTTTGGCCTTTTTATCTGAACTGCCAACAGCTGGGATTGGGGAGGAATGGTGCCCCAAGCTGGCACTGGAGTGGTATGAGCAGGTTCTCCTTTTTCCATATGCTCTATCTATGTGGAACTGCCCTGCAAAGCCTAGCAGCGGTTGTCAGCATCTGCATGCTGACAATGGCTTAGCATTGACCTGACAGCTTTGCTGTTTTTGTGTAGGATCAGTTACAGTAGTACCTGATCACTAAGAATACCTACAGAGTTGAAACTTCCTGTCTGCTATATTTTTATAGGCTGGCCTCCAATCCTGTAAAGAAGCAACTGCCCTGAGATTAACTCCCGATGCGGTTTTGATTCAGGATTATTATTTGAATTGCTGAAGATGTCATCAGGCCTTACAGAGGAGCAAAAGAGAAGAATCGAAGAGAACCGCCAGAAGGCCTTGGCTAGGAGAGCAGAGAGACTAGCAGCCCAGAGAGGTGGGCAGGTGGGGAGCACTGAACCTCAGCTGAAAGAGCGCAGTTTACGCAATCAGGGAAACTTGAAGCAAGAAAACGATCATGTCAGGTTCATTAGCCAGCACCAACAGAATCCGAACAGTCCTAAGGAGCAGAAGAGCTATCTTCATAAAGATTATAATCATTGCACTGCAAACCAACAGATGGCTGGCTTACATGGAGAGCAACAAAAGAATTGTTCAGAGGACTCAGAACAAGCAAGTGGCATTAAGCAATTCCCTGCAACGATTCCAAATTCTCTGAGTTATTCCCATCAACATAACTCAGGTGCTGATGGCCAGAAACACAATCAACAAGCTTTAATTAATCTTGGTACATTCCAGCAGTCCAAGTACTACCCAGCTTACAAAAACCCTACAGAACTATCTCATCCCAGATTAATAGATAACTGGCACCCTGGTGATATTAAAGATTTACAAAGTCAGAGCAAATCTGCCACTAAATATGTTTCACCACCAAGCAGCACCACCCCAGGTGATTCAGAAATGCTGATAAACACAGGCAGATCAACAGAAAAAGAGGGAGGAGGTGGTGCCTCTCAGGCCAGTGGTAAGGTGCAAAAGCTGACCAGCTCTGCTGGTGCAGGCTCTACCTTTGAAGCTGTCTCTCACAAGAAAGCACGCAGTGTTACAAAAGGAAAGTGTGTGAAATATGGAGAAGATCGATTCCAGGTTGAAATAGGGTATAATGCCGAACTCATTGCTGTGTTTAAGAAGGTACCAAGCAAAAGCTACGGTAAGATTTGCTTGTTTGCTCATATCTCTGTTTTACATTGGAACAAAATTTCAGCATCTCTTGGAACCGTAGTTGATATATGCTCTTAGCAATGCATCTGCTGTTAGGGTGGAATATGGAATATTAATGGGGGATTGGAAGTAAAGGCAGTTGAAATTTGGAAAGAAATTCAGGGACTGAATAGCTTGAACTTGGATTTAGCCAAGAAATCAGAAGTCCTGACTTATGAACCATGCTGTGAGATGATTAGTGGTGCCAGCTGGTCAGGGTCTTTTGGGAATGATGGAAGAGAAGTTATTCATAAACTGATGTGGGAAAATGGGTCAGTCTGAATTCAGCTATCACTCAGAGTTGATGGGCTGATTCTGTTAACTGGGTTACTGACAGGACTAAAGCCTGCACCTTTTCTGGTTGCTTCTGTTCTTTTCTTCTGGTTGTTATTTGCATATTTATTATTGTTAGTATTTTTTTTTCTCCTCTGTTGCTGCTTTCTGTGAATGGCTGCTGCATTGTTCTTACATTGTTCCTTCTGACTTCTTGGGGGACCATGTACCTGAAAACCTGGGCATGCTGTTTTCCAGATGTGTGTGGAAAAGCTTGAATGAGAGAATAGAGTACATCTTGCCTGGCATAAACATTTCATAGGACCACTTTTTTTCTATCCCAAATGATTCATATTCTGCCCTATTTTAGATCCTACTACGAAAAAATGGAATTTCAGCTTGGAAGATTACAGGAGTTTCAGTAAGTAAACGGATTGCAGAATGATAAAAAGGGTTCAAGCCTCTCTTCCCCCCTCCCCTCCCAATTATTATTGGACTTATTAATAAGAGAGGTAGCACTGTATAAAAACAGAATGCCTATCTTTTAGGCATCTGGTTCATAACACTTCTCTGAGAATTGGTTGTTGATTAAAAATAACTTGAATTTTTTGATGTAATCTACTCGTTGAGCATAGACTTAATTTTTTTCCCCATTTAATGAGTATTTCAGGGGTCAACAAGCCTGATCATAGGAAAAAATCTCTGCTGGGCAGGTGCTTCGTGTGAGTTTATATAGAGAACTAAGAGTGTTCCAGTGGCAAATGCTTAATTTGTGGGCCTGTTCAGGTATTTTCTTTTCAAACAGCCCTTCTTTAGTTTTTCCTGTTACTTTGGGGTGTCAGAAGAAGAAGAAAGGGTAATTCTGTAGGGTCCTGAGTGAGGTTGAAAATGAAGTTGCCTTTGTTTGGCATAACAAGAGTGGCTTTATATTTTCTCTGCTGTCATTTTATTCTGGAAAGATTGAGAGATGATACGAGGCAAATACTTCAGGTATGCTTTTCAAAAGCACATCATATTGAAGCCTGTGATAAATCGCTATTGATTTCAGTGGGAACAGAATTAGCCCTGTGTTGAGCACTTTGAAAAACCCACAGTTGAGTGCTGGTATTTTAGCTTCCCATGTGGGTTGCCACACATTTATAATTTAAATGCTGCTGGTTTGCTTGAAGTGTATCAAGTACAGATGAGAGCAGAGTCTCTGCACCAAGGAGCTTGCAAATGAAGGGGGTGAGTTTTAGAAATTATGTGAGGCTTTTTTTCCTTAAAGCTATCAAATGTATGAATTCTCTACAGAAAGTCCCTGATGGCAAGCTTGAGACAATATGTGATCAGCGTTGGACTATCGGTGTTGGCTATCGTTATAGCAGTGGAAAAATACCCTGAGGGAAGGGGGGACTGATTTAAAAGGGTCTTGGTCTGAAGTTCTTGTCAATCTTTAAGTGCAAAAGCAATTATTTTTTTAAACGTTAGGTTGTTAGTTTCATTCTTCTGAGTGATGTCTTCCTATATTAAATTTCTTTCCTTGTACTGCAGATGAAACATGCAGTCAAGCCTAGAAACAGATAATGAACTAAAAGAGTTAAAGACATGTATTTTCCAATTTCATTCAGTAATAACAGTTGTAGAGGTGAGATCTTAAATACATACTGCTAAAATAGTAACATTCAAAATCTTTTTGTTTGGTGCAGTGGGAGTGGAAAATCTACGTCAGTGGTTTCCCAGGCCTCTGCTATAAACAAGACTTTCACTTGATGCTCTGGAACTTATCTTTCGGGTGGGAATTTCAAATGACTGGGTTCAATCTGGAAGTAACTTACTTTAAAGTTCCATGAAATCCAAATGATTTGTTCATTAACTGGCTAGGAGGAAACTGTCTTTTTTTCCCCTTCCCCTCTCTCTCCCTTTTCTTCCCTCTTAAAGGCTTAACCACTGGACTTAAATTTCTAAATTTTTCTTGCATATTGGTGAGTTGGAGTGCTTAAGGAGGAGAAGCAGGGTGGATCTTGACGTGCTATTCAGCCCACAAAGGACTGGGTTCATCTGAGTTTACCCTCATAGCTACTGGGGAGGCGAGGTTGTCTCTCTCTACAAATGTATGGATGTAGAATGAGTTTAGTGGTCCTCTGCTCTGAGTCTGATGAACTCTGATGCTAGTGAATATCTGTGTTACTGTAGTACCTATAAGCTGGAGCGTTGTGGCAGAGTGTGGCTTCACTGTTGTGGTGCTCTAAAAATACAAGACAAAAATGGTTCTTGTTATAAGCTATCACAGTTTAGCTATAAGGATAAAGACCGCATATGGATACGGATCAGCAGAGAGGTGCAGGGAAAAAATGAGACAACGTTTGTTAGTGTGAATAGCCATGGTCTTAGGCTAACAGCCGTAAAATGCTACGTCCCTTCTCTCTCCAAGCTCTGGCATCACGGCAGAGGTGGTTGCTAGTGATTAATAAGATAGGAGCGCAGGTGGCTTGTTGGAAGCACAAGTCTGTAACTGTGAGATACACCAGGTAGATACATAAAGGGTGATGGACTTAAATCGTAACAAAGAAAATTTAGGGTTTGGGCTAGGTTCCTTCTTGAAATACTCCCTTCGTCACTGAGTATAGGGCATTCCTCCTAGAAGAGATTGAATGTCAGACGTTGGCATGAGACAAGAGGCAGATATTTTAGATCTTCCTCCTTTTCTGCTTGCAGAAGCACCTCCCAGCCTTTTCATGCAATGTACCATGGATCAGCTTGCCCCTGTGTTGACAACTTTTTAACTGAAAACGCTGTAGCGAGGGTGGGTGGTTTACTGCTGAATGTGGTTCTGCAGATTGCCTGCCCTGGCCTAGTGAGCCATGGTTTGGGATTGCTGACAGAGGGAGCATAGCACAGGGATGATCCTGGACAGGCATTGGTTCCCCTACTCTTGTGTGCTCCCCCTGTTCCTACTGTGTTCTCGGTGATGAATCCCACCAACCTGCTGCTGCAGGCCACCACTCTCTCTGTTCTTTGTCCTTATGAGCAAAAGCAAAATGTCCTCATTCCATTTAAACTTGGAAGTACAGGGTTTGTCTGTTGTCCTCTTGTCCGTTCTCTTCGCAAAGTGTCCTGTGCATCTTTAGTAGGTCCATGCTCTTAGTTATTCATTCTCTCTTCTGTATTCCATATTTTTCTCCCTAGTTGAAGCAGCAAATCGACTTTCCTCAGTAATTCTGGTACCCCTAGAAGGAGAAAATGCTGTGGACTTGGTGTCAGGTGCTCGTTTCATCAGCAGTGGGACTGATGTGAAATCCCTCATGAAGATGTGCAACAACTGGAAGAAACCCTCAGCCCTTGTCAAAGGGAAGTGTGTGCTGATCTCTCGCTTTCGGTTTGAGGTTGATATTGGGTACTCCGCAGAAATGGTTGGAGTGTTCAAACAGATGAATTCTAGAAATTATGGTGAGTCTCTGTTGTTCCTTTAATCTAAGGAGGCTGTTGGGGTGCTATGAGAGCTACAGAGGAGAAAGATTGTGAGAGCACATTCCTCTTTGAAATAGGCATAAGGGAATGTGGTCTGGTGAAGATTTTGGGAGCTCCCATAATCGTGGTATGGTGCTGCACCTCTGTCCTGCGCTTTACTTCATACTAGGATATGTCATCTTCTGAGCGCATTAGCCGAGATGATGTTTCAGCGCTCAGCATGATTACTTTCAAGGAGGGATGTGTTGGTAACTTGCCAGCAGTACAAAGGCCATGCATAGATTCTTGTCTGTTCACTGTTACACACTCAACATCTTGTTTATGGGCAAAGGAAGCTTACTTTTTTTTTTTTAATACATATCTATCTACACACACCCACACACAGCCGGGAATATAAAGCTACTCTATCGGAAATCTTAACAGTCTAAGTCAAGAATCGTCATTAATCTAGACCTAATTATTACAGAAAAGAAAGAATTAATAAGGCAGTTAAGGTATTTACGTAGAGGAAAAGTAATAATGTTAATGTAACACACGGACTTCTTAGCATAACACCAGGAAAAAGAGGTGAAACTCACCCTTCCACTGTTCCTCTGGTTCTGAAAATAGGTGGTTTCACTCTGTTGTTGGGGGTGGCAATATTATGGTGAATTGTCACCATCTGAGTCTTTTGTTGGGAGGAACGTGGTGTTCATGTTGATGGTTTCTTCTTTCCCCCTGTCCTGGGGTCTGCTTACAGTCATTTTTATATGTTAACACACGTTTAAACTTTTCTTTTTCTTCATTCATCTGCAGCTCCAGGTTATATCCAAATTTACGTGCGTTGGATACTGTTTCTTTGTTCTCTTTGTTCCTAAAACCAGTTTTGTACAGCTGTGGGTCTTTTTAACTGTGGGACAGCAGTGAATTGTATATGGCTGTGGGGTCTCCAGTGCCAAGCCTGTGCCCCATGTCTTACCAACCCGTGCCTGTACTCCTCTGTGCTACGTTCTGTAGCACATACTCCTCTTTTCAAGGCCTCTTTTATCATAGCAGGCCTGCGTTTCTCTACACTCTGTCAGTGTTAGTCGTAAATATCTCATTCTACACACAATGACTGCTTATTACTGCTACCTGCATAAAACTGTGGTTGTACCATGCAAAGATTAACGAAAGTAAAACAAATTAGCCATAGACAACTGATCGGTTAAAAATGTCTGTCACAGCTAGACCAGGTGTAACAAAGCTACAGGCCACTCAAGAAAACTTCTGACAGAGCAGGACTGACAAGTGTCAGTCCTGAGGCCTTGCAAACTCAGTACAAAGCTTATGGCCTGTCACTAGCAATGGCAATACAGGGCTATGCAGTTATAACTGTGCCTCCAGCTGACTGTGGATCCACTTTGCCATTGAGGGAAATTGCAGGAGCTATCCTGGGGTAAACCTGCAAGCTAGATCTTGCCTTCATGTTGCACTTTGAATATGGAAAATTTGGGCAATTTCCTCTGCACAGTGCTGAGAATGTTCTTTATAGGGTACGGAGAAACAACTGAAAGTGATTGTGCTACTAACTGTAATCAGAGTTTGTTAAATAATGGATGGGAACCTTCATGTGTACTCTTCATGCCTTCCCACAGTGAAGAGAGAGTGGTTGCTGAAATCCTTGGGCAGGCGAGTTAATTACAATGGCTCATTTGGGGAACTGACCTTGGCTTGCTCCAGTGATACCATTTTAAAAAACAGCTTTTGACAATGTTTGTTTTAACTATTGCATTGACAACGTTTGTTTTAACTATTGCAGATACGAAGAACAGAAAATGGAGTTTCCTGCTGGAGGACTATCCCAAACTGAGTGAGTAGCTGCTTTTTCCTAGCAAGGGCTACTTTCTGGGTAGGGAAATGAATTCTAACTTCATTTCTTGGGCTAGGCCTCTTCAGTCTGGGGAAATGAGTGGCTAATGGACCACAAAGCAGGTGTCTTCCCGTTCTGTCAAATGTTTACGCTGTTTGCCTAGACTCAAAACTTTATAAATGTGTGTTATTAATGGCAGTCTTCAGGGGCCTTATCAGGAGGGTGGCTCTGTTGTGTCAGTTTCTGCACAAATATTTATAGACAGGATTTGTGTCAGGGAATTTCTGTTCAGTTTCTTAGAGCGTGTGTATGTATTTACTCTTACAAAAAGTAATTTTGGTTGCCCAAAATTTGCTGCTGAGGTACTGCAGCTCAACTTGAACTAAGGAGCTGCAGGAGAATGGGCTCCTCTCTTCCCCCTTGCCAGGCTTGAAGAGGGAGGCATGGTGGCTGCCAGGCCTTCATGTCCTTATAGAAATTCTGTCTTAACTGTCTCCTCAGTGCCAGCCTGCCCGCAACTCTTTGCTCCCTTCTATGCATACATCAATTCTGAAGCTGACACAACAACCTCTTGCTCAGAAGAGAGCACAGAGCAAACACATATCAGGCTGTTTTATTGCCAGCTCGTCCTTTAGTTGCCACAAGATTTAAGTAGTGTGTACAGTGTCATGCTATTTCATTTCACACCCAGCAAATTTTCTTTTTCAGGTCAGGGCGCTAGGCTTTCAAGTCAGCTGATGATTTCTGTAACAACCAGTTCTTCCACAGCCACAGTCTGCGTGCTCACTGCCTCGCTGGTTTTGTTCAGCCTCATATATTACTGCTAGTAGTAATTGCTTTGCAGACAGCAGACAACTCTTAGGTTTTTAGTTGATGTACAAGGCAGGTTAGAATTGAGGTTGCTTTCCCATAGCTGAGTTGATTGTGGGGCAAACCAGAAACACTGCTTATTTGTCTCATTGAAGTGTGCAGATCCACTTGAAGCAGATGCTCTCTCTGCAGAATTTCGTGTTCTTGTAAAACGCTTTGGTGCTAGGTTGATAGGTGCTTAAAAAAAAGCTTAGCAAAAAAAATCTCTTTAGAGAGCATCATTTTCCCTTTTCAAGTGGAGTCAAAGTACTTAGTGTTGCTACAGTGTTCATTTCTGGGTGGAAGTAGACTAGTAGACTCCTGGCTTTTTGCATCTGTACAATGCTGTTGAAATTGTGACTCACTGAAGTGAAATGTATAACTGTGTTATTTTAAAAGACGGACGCCACTTTGCAGAACAATCCAATCTCAGCAGCATGCTCCCAGCACATCTGCTTCTTAGTTTTGTATGTTAAGTTAGTACTGTGCTTTGAGATGAAAAGCATTATAGAAATACTAAGTATTATAATTATTATTTACCATTCCAGTTGGCCTGCTGTGTTTGTCTTAGTATTTGTGCGAGGGTATGCGGCTGCAGAGTTTGATTGGGATAAGCTTCAGAAAGATAACAGGCAAGATGCTCTGCACTAGTCCTTAGAGAGCTGAAATGGTGTGGCTTAGAGTAGTATTGCTCCAGCATTGGCTCCTGCTTCTATAGGATAATAAAGTATGTTTAATAATTGAGTATGTGTGTGTTCCTTAAGATGTGTGCCTTAGGAACGCTGGTAATAGTTGTAGGGCTGGAAGCCACTTGATGTGGCTCTGCAGAAAAAGCAACTCTTTATCATGAGGATGAGTGAGTGTGTCTTTGTGGAGACTTCATTATGAAACTCCAGGATTAGGATGTTGGTAGTCCCTGATTTCAGTGAAAGTCGATGATCTTGCACACTTTGCAGGAAAGAATCTGTGGTACATGCAACGGGCCTGATCCAGTAACACACGCTAGGCAATCTGAGCAAACCTAGCATCTTGCAGGCTCTTTAAAACTCTCTCAGTCACACTAGTGCAGTGTTCCTCACATTGGAGGAAATATTCAGAATACCGCAGGTTTAAGGAAAGCTAAATAAATAAGTAAATAAAAAATCTCTGTAGATGCTCTTACAGGATGTAATTGTGAGGGCCTTTGAGGCTTCTAGCGTGTGCCTTTTTGAGGAACAGCATTAGCTTTATGCCTGTTCATTTACCTACTTCAAAAAAACAACATTTTTTTTTTTTTTAAAGGTGGCTGGTTGTCATTTCCTGCAGTGATATTTGTTAGCTGGGAACTGTTTGTAGAGGTTAATGTCTCTTTGCCTAGTTGTTGGTAGTCCCTGATTTCAGTGAAAGTCGATGATCTTGCACACTTTGCAGGAAAGAATCTGTGGTACATGCAACGGGCCTGATCCAGTAACACACGCTAGGCAATCTGAGCAAACCTAGCATCTTGCAGGCTCTTTAAAACTCTCTCAGTCACACTAGTGCAGTGTTCCTCACATTGGAGGAAATATTCAGAATACCGCAGGTTTAAGGAAAGCTAAATAAATAAGTAAATAAAAAAATCTCTGTAGATGCTCTTACAGGATGTAATTGTGAGGGCCTTTGAGGCTTCTAGCGTGTGCCTTTTTGAGGAACAGCATTAGCTTTATGCCTGTTCATTTACCTACTTCAAAAAAACAACATTTTTTTTTTTTTTAAAGGTGGCTGGTTGTCATTTCCTGCAGTGATATTTGTTAGCTGGGAACTGTTTGTAGAGGTTAATGTCTCTTTGCCTAGTTGCTCAGTCATCTTTATATAAAGGTCATTTCAGTAAAAAATGTCTGTTGGATGATTCATGCTGGTGGCAGATATATCTTAATCACTCTCCCAGCTCATGTACAGAACAATAGCAACAGAATTATCAGTGAGCAAATTGTAGCAATTATGCTAACACAGAGCTCAGTCTGTGAGTGTAATAACAAGCTTGTGCTGTAGTTCGGGTGGAGAGAGTTCCTGCTATTGAAGGAGTATAAATTAAACTGGAGAGTTTAAAAAGTTTGGGCTATTGCCCAGCCACAAATGGAAATCTTTTCATATGTATATTTCTTAGAATTGCTTTCCCCCTTCATATAGCAGGGGTCTATTCTGCTACTTTCCTTTTGGAGATAACATCTGAAATTAAAATATCCAACTGAATTCTGGAGGTATATTTACTGGTGGTGTAGCGAGTCCTTATTTCAGTTTGCATAGCTGTGGTTATTTCCGCAAAAGGCGTTGTTTTGTATCTTCCTGGCTTCATACACAAAGTGAGCACTAAATGAAAGATACTTCCCACAGTAAAGGTTCTGTGCACATGCATTTGTGTGCCGAGCGTAGAGATGTATGTTGTTTCTCCTTCAGTGGTCAAAGATTGATTACTAAACATGATTTCCTGGTCCCAACTCACTTGCTGCATCTTTTAAACTTTAATTTATTTTCATAGAATAATAAGAAGAAATACTTCTATCTTTCTGGAGTGGGATAGGAAGGCTGCCAGAGGAGACTGAAGTAAAATTGTCTAGGAGAAAAATTACCCTGAGGATTTGCTTGTTATGACAAAAAGGAAAGCAAAACACGAAGATGAAGGCCACAATGTCTTTGCACAATGAAGGTTCCCTTTGGTTTGACTGGAAAAGTTTTGTGCTGCAGGTGATAGTGAGGAGCTGCATGGATGAAACATCAGTAGTGGTAGGGGGTTCAAGTCGCTGCCTGTGGGTTGGTTTAGGCCTGTGAGCTACTTCCATCTGGGAGAACAGCAACGCCTGCTGGCTGAGCCGCGGATTGCTGTCAGTGCCACGTCCCTGAAGGATGGCTGAGTGGTGCAGGTCTTCTGAGACTGAAGACGCTGCTTGTTTTCTTATCTAAATGTGAATGAGGGATGATGTAATGAACACGGAATGAAACCTGTGTGAATTTGGGGAAGGACAGGAGAAAAAAGATGGCAAAGCTGAATATATATGGCCTTCTTTAGGTAACTCTGTCTCGGATGTCTCTACCAACCTTGAGTACATGATTAGAAGCTATCAGAGGTGTTAAATGCAAAATCCTAAGGCCAAAACTAAATGCCGCTGCCTTCTAGGCACTGGAGAGTTCTTGTTCAAATCTTACTTTTATGCCTGAGTAAGTGTGCTCTGAGCTGCCCACAATGTGAAGAATCCAGCTCCAACTGTATTAGTGGCAGCCATCTTTGAATGATGGCATCAGACGTTTTTAGTTCTTTACAGCCAAGTCTAAATATGAGGGAAGGGGATGTGATTCATCGTGTATTGAAATAGACTTCAGGGAAGAGGCCAGACCAACACCTGCCCATGATGCAGTGCTTTCTTGAGCTGTTTCAGGACAGGAAACAAGTTGTTGATGAGGTCAACGGATGAACCGTGATGTCGGCAATGTAAGCTGTATGTACGTTGCCCCTTCTGATAATAAGCTGCTCTGTTTTTTGCAGTGGAAATGGTACAGAGCCTTGTGTCAGTAGAAGTGGAGCCGCTGCCCACAGCAGTAATACAGACCTTCGCTACTCAAATAGAGAGATTTACCTCACAGACGGTGGACTTTCCTGAGGCTGACCTTTCAGTAGTGGACTCCAAAATTGTGACAAGCCTCATGCCCTTTCAGCGGGAAGGTGTGAAGTAGGTCCTGTGTGCATGCAGAGCAGTCCTTACAGAGGCTTGGGTGGTTATGCTCTGGGGCTTGGATAACCTCTTGCTGGGTTTTAAAATTATTGTTGTTTTTATTGTTGTTATTATTTTGAGTGATAAATCTAGTCCATATTTCTACCTGCTTTCTATCTAGAATTCTTCATAATGGAGTAAGGCAGGAAACAGCATTTTGCTGGTCCTCAAGTTGTTCAATTTATGCTACTTTGATCTCCCTCCCTTGATTCAGTATATACCTAAGTGTCCTATGACCTTTTTTTTTTTTTAAGCAGTGTTTGTTTTTTTAACCCAAGTGCTTTTTTTTTTTAACCCAAGTGCTTTTCTTTTTTTCTTTTTTTTTTCCTTTGGTTACATGTGGGAAAGTCTCAGGAAGTGGGACCCAGACCATGAAAGATTTAAAATAATTAATTGTATGTGAAGAAAAACTTTTTAATATCTCTACCATTTTAATATCCCTACCACATATGGTCAGTTGACATCAAGAGACAATCCAGGAAAGTCTGTATCTACTGGTACTAAAACAGCATTATTTTTAATAATGCTTTCTTAGCCTGACCAGAATGAACTCTAAGAACATGAATAATATCATGGAAAGAATGTGGTAAAGTCTTGAGACTACTCCTTGTATGAGATCAAAGTCTCGAAGAGCTGGACTGAGCCATCCTGTTTTGGAGCTTCCAAACTTTGAGTGAAGATTTGTATGCATGTGTGTGTTGCTCACTTGTGTTAAGGCTGAGTGAGAAGAATCCGGATCACTTCCAAGAGATCCACCATGTAGATTTAATCTACAAAAGCATCTGTAGTTCTCTGGTAAAATGGAGCGAGTTGAAGACATTTACTACAGTTGATATTATTCACTGTGGTGTCAGCCATGGTTTGCAGAAGGATTTAGTTCTGTTCCCTCTTCTGTAATTCTTCTAGAAAGAGCAGGTGATGAGTTGTGTTCGTCTTAGCTGCAGAGACAAACTTTAAACCTTTTATTGACTTACTTATTTCTCCTCTCTCTTTTTCCCCAGTTTTGCAATTTTAAGAAATGGACGTTTACTTCTTGCGGATGACATGGGCTTGGGCAAGACTATCCAGGCAATCTGCATTGCTGCTTATTACCGAAAGGAATGGCCCTTGCTCGTGGTGACTCCTTCCTCTGTGAGATTTACATGGGCAGAGGTACTGTCACCTGAACTGTGTGTGGGTGGCCTGGGAAAGGGCATGTATGATGGTTATGCTGTGTTGCACTCTGTGTACAGATTAAAAGACATGTTTTTAAAAATTTATTTATGAGGAGAAATTAAAATTTCTACCCATTTAGAAACTTGAAAGAGGGGAAGTTCCTTGGCGTTGACCATGTGATGTGTATAATTTCTTCTTGTATTGGCTGATTCTCTTTTTGTGGTTCAACTGGAAAGGGGGAGAAAAGGAGCAAATATCTCCTCTGACCCAATGTAAGAAAGAAATTTATTTTTTTCCTACAAGTCAGCTGGCTTCAAGGACACGTCTTGCTCATCAGTGCCAAAGACAATAGTTGCATGTAAGCAATTGTCGGTTGCATTCAAGCTCTTTACAACAGGACTTGCCAGCCCCTTGGCTGGAATAGAAGCCCAGATGTTGGGATTTTCCCTCCTGTTCAGGAGGCCCCATTATTATCCCTAAGTGTCAGTCCTAATATGTCTTTTTAGCCTGTCCGCTCTATGCTGCCGAGTGCTCTAAGCCCTTTATTATTGTTAATCAGAACCCTGAGAAAGCTCATGAGGCTGGGGAGTATATATTCTTGAAAGAAATCGCCATGTCGTGGTCTGTACACTGAGGCTGTTGAGTTGTTCATTTTGGAAGAAGAGGTAAGCCGGAGGTTTTAGGTTAATAATTTCGTGCCTGAGCAGGAGAGGGTAGGAGATTATCTTTTCCTGGGATTTTGCATTGATGCATTTGATATATTGGTTGGGGGGGTTACTGTTTTTATGCTGTAACCTGGTTGTTACAGCACAGGTTCTAACCTGGTGTTTTCATGTCTAGTAGTGTAACAAAGCATTGGGTGACAGAGGAAAAAATATGAAAATTCTTGCAGGTTTCTAAATAAGACAATAAAGCTAATTGTGTTTGAGCTATGAAGGAAAAGGAGTTATTTAAAAGGCCTCTAGATCTCCGGGTCAACAGCTAACCAGAATTCGTGGCTCCTACTGGGAACAACTTGGGGCCTGGTTTCCAGAAATACTGGACGCTTGCAGCTTAACTCCTATGTCCTACTCACAGAGATTTAAGCAGTCTGAGGCTTTTTGTTTGAATACTCAGTTTCCTCTCCATCCCTCTGCCCCAGGAGGCTATGTTAGGACGTTTGCTTTAAAATCATTCATGTTGCTGTGTGCGTATGTGAAAGATGCAGGTCTAGGAAAAATATATTATAGCAAGTTGAAGGCGAAGTCTGTTTTAGGCTGTAATCTTCTCAGTTCTTGCATAGATGTGTCTTACTCTAAAGGTAGGAGCTCTTGTGTTGTCTCTGGAACTGAGTTCCCAGAAATTCTCTTCATCGCAGAGATGCAGGCTCTTTCTTTTTAGGCATTCTGGGCTTATGCCATTGAGTGCCTTTATATTCAAGGTGCCATAGGAAGCTAGCAGGAAGAGTTGAGATGCTCTTAGGTGAGAAGTGCTGTAGCTCTGTGCATTTGGAGTTCAGTGTTGAGACTTCACTAATTAAGGCTGTGTCAGGGCAGATCCCCTGTTCAGGGAGTTTCACCGCGTTTCTTTTGGACAAAGGTCAGCATCAAGTGAGAAATGTGGGATCACTTTTACAGTGCGGGCTAGGCACATACCCTTAACAAGAAGGGAGGACAGCATACCTAGGAGCTTTTGAAAACTTTCTTTCCCACTGCTGTCACCTTTGTCTCAGTTTGATTTAGCATCAGCCATATATTTTTCAGCATATATTTTTCTAACCTTGTCTTCTTATTGGCCCATTTTGATTGTGATGTTTGCCTTAAGTGGTGAAGGATGGCTTCCTTGTTGATTCCTTACATGCTGTTGGTGTTTATCTGACTACTGTGTGTCATTGCTGAACAGAGGAGAGGAATGATGCTTGGGGGATTTCCACAAGTGAAGAACATGGGGCAGAGATGCCATTTACCCTCATCACTCCTTGGATATGTTTCTGTAGGGACCAGACCCTGGTTGCTAGATCCCCAGCCAGTTCTCTGCAGGGAACTGCAGAGAGGTTGGTGTCCTTGGGGACAGAATTACAAGGGAAATGGTGGGTGCTCAGTACCTAACAGATGGGTTTGGGGAAAGATATTTTCCTTGGGTGTGTGGAGCATTTCAAGAGGTAGTTTTGAATAACTATCACCATATGTATTTCAGCTGCTGTCATAGAGCAGCTAGCTGGTGAGGTGTCAGCTTGATATCTTGATTTTTATTTATTTATTTATAGTGGGAAGGGTAGTAGAAAATGTTTTTGTTTTTTCTTTTTTTTTACCAGGAGGAGATGTACTTCATTGTCACTGTGGAGTAAACACTGCTGTAGTGCGAGATGTTTACTGCCTGGAAGTCTATATTTCACAGACTGAAGTTTCCTGTTGAATGGCAAAATTGTAAATTTCCCTGCCAGTAGTGGTCATTGCGTTCCTGTTCTGGCTCTGAGCATAGCAAGTAAAATTGTCAGGTGGCTATGCATATTGCTACTGCAGATCAGAGTTTCTTTCTCAGTAAAAAGTAAGAATAAACTGTTCAAGTTTTCCTAGTTGCAGGAGGTGGATTTGGTTGTATAGCCTGGATTCTGTGCTTGAAATTCCCGTTACTAGTGGTGTTGCCTTGGGAAGGCTGCTTACCCCTCTGTGCTCCTGGTTGATCTTTAATTGTGGGTGGGGTGGCCCCATGTTCCAAGCATTCATCAGGAGGCCAAATTATAATTTGTGAAGGGTTTTTGGATCTCGGCAGAGGGCGTGAGCACCAAAATGCAATTAATGACTCTCTTCTCCTCCAGGCATTTCACAGGTGGCTTCCATCCTTGAGTCCAGGTAGCACCAATGTCATAGTGACTGGCAAAGACAACCTAACAGCAAGCTTGATTAACATTATCAGCTTTGACCTTCTCAGCAAGATGGACAAGCAACTCAAAGGCGCTTTCCAAGTAGTTATTATTGTAAGTGTTGCACTAGAATCTTTGAAGTTAATTGCATGCTGCAAGTGGGATAACTTTTATGTTGTATGGCAAAGAAGTGTGAGGAGGCCTTATGTAGGACTGAAATTCTCTTGTAATTATGGCTGTGATCACAGCTGTGTTCATGAGTAGTAGTAGGTTACTCTGAAACCTTTTGAGATAGCTAGTAGAGTCTGTTTGCCTTTCTGATTCCTGAGGCTGTTTTCTCTTTTCCTGGATATGATGCTTTTCTGATTTCCTCAAGGTTGGGCATGTGCTTTGGCTGGAGAACAGGGTGCTCCATGTGGTGTGTCGGTACAGTAGTCATGGAGTTTTATCTGCTTAAGGGAATCGCACTTTGGGCTGGTTTCAGGGTGTATCCATTAAACCAGATAACATCTCAACGCCAAGTGTATCCATAAAGCATCAAAATCTCCTTTTGCCTGTGTTTCACTGACAATGTGCATTAAACTTTCTTTGATCTTTTGTATCATTTCTTTTATAAATGACTTTGAAATCCATTTTCTAACCCTTTTAGGAGCTGTGGCAATAGGCATTTTTCTAGATATCAATTAGTAAAAATTCAAGACATCTAGTATTGCAAATCCAGCTTGGATCAATAGAGACCAAAAATATCTACATAGTTTCTTGTGAGTGTTCAGTGTTCTCAGCCTAATTTTCAGCAAACAGATGCACCTGTCCCCAGAATTATGACAACTGGAGCTTAATAGCCCTTTTGCTTCCCAGCAGTGGCTGGGAAGATGTGAATAGATGCAGCCTTGGGGACCAAACTTCTTATGAGGGGATTGGTTTTCCCCGCCCGCTCCCAAGACACTCCATCAGGAGGATGGAAATGCAGATTGTTATTTTGTATGTGGTGCTGTTTGGGATGGAGGGGCTTGGGCTCTGGGACTATTGCTCTGGCACCTTTAACCAGCCCTGAGCTGGCAGATGTTCCCTCCGTGTGTTTATATGTTCAGAGTTGGACCCTGTACATGTTCTTACAGATGTAAATAGTCCTACTGAGTGTTGTGCTTCCTTACTTTTTTTTCCAGTCTTTTGCTGGCTCGGGCCGTAAACGTAGCTTATTTGTTAACTGGGAGGGAGAATGCTGTGCCTGGGAGGCTAAGCAGTTGTAGTGCCAATTGCTTTTGTATCTAAGTTCTGCCTGGCTACAGTAGTAGAAATAGAGCCTGTTTGGGGGTGATGTCTCAGGTAGGGCTCACCAGGTGGATAATAGCCTCTATCAGCAAAACAGTTGGATCATAATTAGATTTCTCCTTTTCTTGTGGTTTTCATTAATCCTTTCATTTAGGATAGTGGCAGTGTGTGGGCCTCCTATTTTTGCTGCACTTAAAAGGACACATAGAGGCAAATGAGTATCAGTAGCGGAAACAGTGTTCCTCTTTCTCCTCCCTCTCCTCCTCCTCTACTCACTTGCTGTGTTTGTTTGAGATTCATGACTTTAAGGTTTGATTGCCTTTCCATTTGATTGCGGCTGCGGATTTGAGTGCAGGAAGCCTGCTACTCCCCTTGCTGTCTTCATGTTTAGAATTTGATGTGACTGTCCCAGCACTTGAAACCTCCTCTATGATGATAGACTTGTAATATTAGGTAGCCAAGAACACTGGGAGTTTGTTCTTTATCCAGGAGCTGGACTGTGGCTCAGAATTCTCTTCATTTTTGTGCCTGTTTTGTTTCAGGATGAATCTCATTTCCTAAAGAATATAAAAACTGCACGATGCCGAGCTGCCATGCCTCTTCTCAAGGTGCGTATGCTGTGTGCCAAACCTTCAGCAGTTCCTTTCTAAAGGCTTTCTAGAGGTGGGAGTCAGCAGCTGAAATGTGCTATTGTGCCAATGGAAATCCAAGCAGCGCTGTTGATCCAAGAGTAGAATTTGTTTCTGGTTTCGGTGTCTCTTTCCATACAAATGTTTGATGGTGAGGCCCAAAAAAATAAATTCAGAAGCCCCCTTGATCTAATCCTGATACTGCCACTGACTTATTTTTATGGCACTGAGAATTCCGTTTCCCCTGGAGAAAAAGGCGATACCAAAACTTACTGAATGTATTCAAGGAGAGTACCAACAATATAGTAGTATCAGTGCAGCTTATTTAAAGTACGTAATCATCATCGGTTATATGCAGTACCTGATGGCACTCAAATTGCTGCTGTATATCAAAATACTTGGATTCTTTCTGTGGCTTTGGGCTTGGGCTCTGCTGTGTTACTGGCAGCTGCCAATGTACATGTGGCTGGGGTACAGGAGTGCTCCTGCTGGTTAAATGTACAGAACTGAGGAGGAAGTGGCAGGCAGCAAGGCAAGTAGCCCTCGTAAGGGTGGTGATATTGAAGCATATGACAGTGAGAGAAACACACAAAAAATTTTAGTATCTGTCTCACATCCCAGGAACAAAAAAATCAAACTTTGATTTGGTAGTCTTGGGTGATAGATTAAAGTTACCAGTAGTTTCTAGACACAGCAGACTCTGTAGCTTAGAACAAGATAAATTCAGTTCTTTTTCAGCAACTGACAGTAAGTGTGCTTAAAAGAGAAGATCTGTGATGGCTTTATAACAACCAACTTTTATTTTGAGAGATTGTTAATGGTAAGCCAAAGGTTGTCATCTTTATAATGATAACTCCATCGCTCTGTTTAAAAGCCTGACTCTTGTCTTCTGGCTTTGGAAATGCTTCAGGCTTTTAATGTTTGGAAACTGAGTAGGAGGCCCAATTTTATGAGCAGTTTGCAGGACAGTACTTGGGATACATATGCTAAAGGGGTGGAAAGTAACAACTTCATCTCACTGCAGAATGCTCAGAAAGAGGCCTCATTGTTTTCTACATGTAGCTCTGTGAGGATCAGCTTGCCAAAATTATTTGCAGGCTACAAGATAGAGCATAGTGAAGGATGGGATCCTATTAAACGGAGGTTAATCACCTTTATGAACCTATTGAGAATTTACGGTTTTATGCCGTCACATCACTGGTCATACAGGATTGAGAGCTGGTGCTTCTGAAACTGAATTTCAGTCTCTTGAAAGTGTTAAGAGTTTCATGTTTGTGCCACGCAGTTTTAACTGTTGCTGGCCTTAGTCTGCTTTAAACTTTCTTAAATTGCCATAGTTAAATGTACTTCCTATGAGGTTCCCAACTGCCTAAAGAAATGAAAGTTGCCTAAAAGGATTAAAGTCAAAGGAGCTCCGGTTTTCCAGGTCCTCACTGATAAAAGCCATGCAAGTAAAATTAACGCTCTTTTGGGATGATCAAGCCATTGTTGTGCCACGATCCTCTGCAGGCCTTAGGAAGTTCAGAGCCTTCTCCAGACTCTGGTCTTAGTGGCCTCAAGCCTCCTTGCTTGCTCTAATGCAAGTTTTGTGGGACACCCCTTAACTCTACCCAAATCTCACATGCGAGGCTTCAGTAGGTTTCTGGAATAGCACGTAGCAAAGTGTTTTTTGATCATGAAAGCTTAGCCTTGAACTGCTTATGGGAAGGGGGTTGGGGGGAGAAAAAACCCTAAGAAGTGCAATCTCTGGTCCTTAGTTGCTACAAAGATTTGTAAGTCTGGCCAGGTCTAAATCGGAATGTTTGAGCCTGAGAGTGTCCCTTCCATTGGTACTTAATGGACTTACTTTATTTTGCTAGAATCTGTTCCTGTGGCTTCTCCACTTTAATAACAACTGAAATATAAAAAGTGTTGTGGGTGTGTAGACAGAATTGCGTAATTATTGGATTAAATCACCAAATTCATAATAAAGATGACTTGGTTATTAATCATGACTCTGCCTTGTTAGACAGCCATGCTGAATCTCCATTGCTGAAACACTGAACCCATGATTACAGCATTTTAAGCCTAATTTTAATCTTTAATATGTGAAGACATTGATAATTTTTCAGAATGAAATTATATTTTTAACCCCTCAGTTATAACTCATCTTTCCTGCTGTCTTGTGTATATTGTGGAGCAAGTGTGTTATGGCGTTGTCAGGCAGAGCCACGTATTAAACATGTGGTCCATGTCTCAGTCAGTTGGGAACTCTTTGACTTTTTTTTTTTATATTTAACAAAAAACACAAACTTTTTTTTTAATCTGTGTCACACTTGATGTCTTTTGTGACTGATTTGTTGCTACCCTGACAGAGATTTGGGAAAGTTTTGCCTGAGAACAGTGGGAAGTGTGATTAGAAAGACTTTTTAATGTGTTCATATATAATGGCTGCATGTATGCAGTGCCTTGTTCCCTACTTGGTAGCTTGCCCCAAATTACTACCACTTTAAAATAAGCATATAGATGTGTTGTGCTCGATTATTTTTGTTGAACAAAACTTGGGGAGAGGAACTAACCGTTACACAAACTATACAGTAGAGTGAGCTGAAATGGCAGCAGCAAGATTTCTTACTCCCTTCAAGATCCCAGTGGATATGCAAACTTGTGGGTGTGCCGACTTGTATGTGGAGCAGAACGTTTCAACCACCTACTCTGAGCCAGGTGGTGGAGTTTGTACACAGCCTCTTTGCGTCCTTCCAAAAATACAGAGGTGGGTGGTTTGAAAGCCATAGTAGAAAACAGTCCTTTGATGTCTTGGCATGTGGCAAAAATCCTGCTTTCACACTCAGCCAGCTTTCACACCAGCCAGTCTGTACCAGCAGTCTGTGAGACCAGCTGTGTCCCCTGCTTCAGCATCTCTGATGGTACGCAAGGGGGCAAGAAGTTCTTACGTTCAAAGGAGTCCTTTCTTTTTGTTTTCGTTCATACCAAAGTGAGGATAACTTCATGTTGCTGGGCTTTGGTTGAGCTGCCATTGTCCGATCTGGCTTGTCTCTACCCCTAATCCAGAGGTGTGGCAATCACCACATAGGTAATCACCACATAGGTCCTAAGTAATAGGACCTACTTGTCACCTTGCTGGGTTTTTTTTCAGCCTTATGTTTGGGACTCTGTTTTCCTGGGCTTGCTGCCAATACTGGTTGTTCCCTATGTCTCTGCCCTACATGTCCCTCTGAGGCAGAAAATGTTGTCTTGTTCTAGCTCTTGTACAAATTTTGGTTTTCCCTCCAAGATTAGACTAGCCCAAAGGCATGAGCATTGGAGAAGGAATGTGTGTGCTACTAGTATTCAGAAAACAGCAGAGCCCCAGGGGAAGTAGATGGAGAAGAAACAACAAAGTGAAAATTTTTCACTGATCTGTGGAGGGTTCTCCTGGGACTTGGGTGAAAAGAATTCTACGTCCTTTGACCATCCAAAATGCTGCATGGTCTTTATTCTTCTGTAATTGCACGGAGTATCCCAAGGCAATGGAAACTGAGGAATGTCCCAGTGGAGCATGGATGAGATTTTTGGAAGCCTTACAATAAGTTTACAGTGAAAAACTGGGTTAGAAACTGAGAAATAAAAGTAGTACCTAATCTAAGGTTCCAGTGGCATAAAATGGACTTATTTCCATTGTGCTCCCTATGAGCTTTGTTCCACAACACTTCGGTCATATTACTGATGTGAACGTTCCTTTCGAGCTGCTGTTCAGGTTAATAGCATGATGTGCGTGCTGATGTATGCAGGGTTAAGGGTCTTTGCTTCTATTATGGAAGTCCAAATACATTGTGTAACTGGAATCTGATGTGCTTTTGAATGTGCTTTGAATGTGCTTGTTTTAATAAAGAGATGCTTAAAAGTAATAGGGAAATGGGTCAATGCTGAAGGGAGAAGGTGGAGAGGAAATAGAAACAACTCCCTTTCCAGTGCAAAATAAATAGCTGCTGTCCTTAGGCATTAAAATTCTATAGGGACTAGATGAAGAAGCATTTACTCGTTGTCACCCGCTGAGAGAAGGAATTTCATCCTGAAATCAGAGAAGCTGTGGGCCGTCAAGGCCTGTGCTGCATCTTTACCTCTGTTCTCAATTTGCAATTCCCCTTCCGTCTTGAAGTTGGCAAGTCACGTAGCTTGTTCCCGTCATAGATGATCATCACCATTTGACACCCGTTCTGTTTTTAGTTGTTGCTTGAAAAAACAAGAAGGCGTTTATATTTTTGGAATGCCCACTATGGAGTCATGCTATGAAATGCAGGACACTAGCTCACCCGAGTGCAGAAACGGACTCTCCAAAACAGCTACAACCCCTTCCCTTTATCAAATCTTCTATTTCATCAAGTGATTCTCTGTTATTTAATGGTCACTCTCAAATTTTTTCATTTGTCAGGATAATGTGTTCTTATGCTAAGCAGTTCAAAAGGACAGAGTAAGCAAAAATTGGGGACACAAGTAATTGTATATCATGAATCAGCCACACTTTTTAAAAAAGTGTGTCGGTCTGTTAGCATATGGCAGAGCTCATGCTGTGAAATTCATTTAAAACAGAGAGTCATTGTATGTTAATGAGGCACTTTGCATGTTCAGTTATTTTTTTGTGGCATATAACCCCCCCACGCACCCCTCTTGAATCAGTTGGGTGCTGGGTTTTGACCTCTAAAGTAAGTGTCCCTGGGGGGTTACCACGTAATAAATTATTTTTGACTTTCAGAAGTGACTTTTGTAAATGTTGTCACAGCTGGGGAACTAAGTCTCGGCTGATGTATTGCATGTGTAAGTGCAGTGCTGCAATGCCACAATTGTCTTGTGTTCCTCTGTAAATGAGGACTACAGAACAGATCTCCACTTATCAAATCATTGTCTGAGTTCCCTTAAGTACTCTCCCGAGAAAGTAGCTATAAGAACAGTCACAGGGATACATGAGGGAGAGGTATGCTGCTGGGAAAGATGACATTTCATGCCTAAATGCTAATGGGGAGCTGCTGTTTGTTCTGTGTGGAGATACATATCAGTTGATGACAGATCAGCTCTTGCTAGAAAGTCCTTGCTGGTCACTGAGATCTTATTTTCTGCAGCTGCTGTTCCATAGTTGTTATAAGCCTTGGAAGAAAGAGGGTAAACTGTCACTTCTGACACCACAGAAGGTTCAGGAGGAAACAAGAATAAGCAGTGATCAGCAGATACTTCTCTGCAGGAACAAATCTTTGTTGGCATCTATTCAAAATAAGTTGCCACTAGCAAAAGAAACGTGAATCAAACCCACCTCTTTCATCCGGGATTCAAATAAGTCTTCAACACTTAAACCCTCCTAGGGAGATAAGGTTCTTTCTCTCTTGGGTTCCTCCTTTCATGGATTTGAAGACTGAAAGGGACCACTGGAATAACTAGTCAGACCACCTACCTTCCACAGGATATTTCTGAAATTAATGTCGTCTTCAAGTTATTCACACCTCTTGTGGAGCTAATGTCTGTCAGATTTTTTTGTTTTGTTTTTTAGTTTTTGTTTTAACTTCCCATCTTGATTTTTAAAATGGTTAATTGTAGAAGATGTATGACAAGCCTTGTTAAGTTCTTGCAATGGTTCAAAAAATAAGTTCAACTTCAAAAAATAAGTTCTGCATAGAGAAGCAGCAGCTGTACAAGTTTAGAATTCAAATAATGTGTAACTTAATTCCCTCTTTCAGTGCCTGTTTAGGGACTGGGGAAGGAACAAGGACCCCGACTAACAGTTTTTACTACTGGAGAATGAGTGTTCCAACCTCATCTCATGTAGCTCCTGAGGGAAGGAGCTTTGGAAATGGCATAAGACCTTTCAACACAGTTGGTTTTATGTTATATTTGTCATGTCCTGGTCAGTTGTGAGTGAATATTACTAGCTTTAGCTTGATCCAGGGTTATTTGAAATGAGCTGACCTGTTCAGTTACTACTAAATAGGTGTCTGTGTTGCTGTTAGACTGAATTATTTTCCTTGAGAATTCAGTCTTCCTCTAACTGCATGACTCTAACACAGCCTAGTTTTAGTGTTACTACGCTTAGAAGCCTCAGTTGAAGTGGGCCTTCACCCAGTGGGGCCACAGAGACTGAATTCCCCCTGACTTTTAGGAAGAGAGGCATGGAATGGTGAGGAGCATGGTGCTGTGAATAGAGCCATCAATCTCTAGCCAGTCCACTCCTGATGGGAGTGTGACTCAGGAGTCTCCACCCTACTCTTGGGGTAGCAGTTCACAGGACTAGGAATGCTGGCAGGAGCTGAGTTAATGCACAGCCCCTCAGGGCCTGTCTCCATTCCAATGTCTCTGTCTTCTACTGGCTCTGCCAAGAGCTTCTGGTGAAATTCCAGCTGTGCTTTTCCCTCCTCCTCCATCCTAAACTTGGTCTGCTCTTTCTCTGTGAGCATGTAATTGAGTAACCTCCATGTTGATACCCCCCCCCCCCCCCACACCCACAGCCCCCACGCCTACACTGCGAGTGAAAGATTTCCCAGAGTGGTGTCAGTTAACTCCACAAAGGCTTCGGCAAAGCACTGGATGTTGTCCGGGCTCTGCTGAGGTGTATTCCTTTGTTACCTTCATTTTAAAAACTGATGCTATTTCTGCTTTATCATTTTGTTCCCTTATGGGATCTGATAACTTTTGGGTTCTGTGACCTATCCCTTTTTTGATCAGCGTGGGGACCTTTGTCTTCCGTAAACTAACACTTGCCTTCTCACACATGAAAAGTTTTGACCTCCTCTCTTATTTGGTTTAATAAGAATACTACTTTAAAAAAAATTGTGAGAATTGTCTCATCCTGGTAGTGACCACATCTCCTTCTGATCTGCTTGGATAAAGGGGGAAGGGAAGTCCCGCTTTGACTACAGCCTGTATGTAAATACCTGATAAAGAATCCCAAAATTAATTTCCGGTAGCTGATCTGTGAACTCTTTTTCCACCGGATTTGGTTGGCGAGTGAATGATTCAGCTGAATAGATTTGGGTGACTGGTAGATCTCAGTGAAACGATAAAAGAATTTCATTTTCTTTTTCATTTATATGTGAATGAGCTGTTAGTACAAATGTCACTCAAGAATCTCTTTGTTATTTTAATGATCCTGCATTAAACCATGCAGGAAATTACAAGGCATGTGTAATTTAACTACTATATGTGAATTTACAGCAGTAGAAATTCATAGCTCTCTTCTACTAATAGAATTATATAATACAGGAGGTAAGAGGGCAGAAATACGTCCTGGGCTTTTTTGTGTACTATGATGTAACTTTTTCCCACTTATTTTTTGGGGAGCACCTATTTGGATACTATTTTTTCGGTTGGTTGTTTTTTTTTTTTTTTGCCTTCCCTCCTATCTTCCGTACAAAACATTGTAAACAGTCAGCTGATTTGATTCCTATTTATTAACTCCTGTTCTAGCATCCAACAAGCAGTACATAGACTCACCATGGTTGCCAGGTAGGCATCTTTTGACTCTGCTTCAGGCAGCATCCTCTTTGTCTCCTTGCTAGTAGAACTTGAAAAGAAAAAAAGAACTAAAAGTAAGAAAAAAATTACTGCTTATCCAGATTCCTTCTGCTATTGTAAGCAAGATGGTGGCATGGCTTGCTGTGGCAGGCTTATTAAAAGAGAATTTATTTCAGAGGTGAAGATGTACCTGGGAGGGGTGTGTGTCATGTTCCAATGACATTTGATGCCAAATGAATTCTTGAGCCAGGCATAAGATGTTAATGTGTCTAGTGGGTAAACTGGAATTCTTGAAGTAGTGTCGTAAAAAAAGATGTCTCCTTCCCTTCCGGCATGTGGATAATGAATAAGAAGCAATATAGTTTGTCCCTCTTCCTACAAGTTTGAAGCAGTGTCCTGGAGTGTCTTTAGACAGTGAAGGCCAGAAGTGTCTTTAGAAGATGACATGTTCTTCCCTTTAGACTGTTTGAACAGTGGTTCTGGGGTTTTCTCTTGCGGCTGGGGATTTCTTCTTAGAAGGTGCTGCTTATGTAAGAAGCTGTATGATGAGGATGTTCCATTTTACTTTCCTAGGCTGCTAGAAGAGTGATCTTGCTTTCAGGAACCCCTGCCATGTCGCGGCCTGCAGAGCTCTACACGCAGATTGCTGCTGTCCAGCCAACCTTCTTCCCGCAGTTCCATTCCTTCGGCCTGCGCTACTGTGATGCCAAGAAGGTACTTTCAGTGGGATGGTGGGGAAGTGTCAGTCAGGGACACTGCAGCTCTGCAAACAGCTTATTTTCCCTGAAGTAGAGGCTATTCCTTCCTCTCCTTCCCCTGTCTGATCTTATGTATTCTTTTTTGAGAAAAGTCTCCTTTTCACTTCACAGCAACATTTTGGAAGCTCTCAACCTGAGAAGCTCTTACTGCTGCAAATAAACAGTGTACCTGAGACATGGAGGCACTAAAGCTTCTTCTCAAAATCTGCCCTGGAAGGACACTGGGAAAAAAAAAAAACCCTATGTGACAAATTGGTCATAGCTGGGGGAAAGGAGCCTTTTCTGAGAAGAACTTACTGCTAGGGTGCTTTGAATGGGCAAAGTCACTGTGGGCCTTTTGAGGAGCTGCGGGATTGGGCTAATTGTTTAAAACAACAGTTTCTAGTCTACATTAGCAGTTTTTTAACAATGCAAGGCCTTTGTTGCTTAGGACTTTGGATCTTATGCCTCTAGGTAGGTGGTAAATGAAGACTCCTAGGCCATCTTTGTATTCTGCCCTCTCCAAGTTCAGGCCATGAATGTTGACCCCAACGTAATTTTAAAATATTTTAACTTCTCTCTGCCAGCTGTTCAGCTGAATCACTGAGTGCAGGTGTTACAAGACCTTGGCTTTGCGGAAAGCCGGAAGTTGCAGCCATGATGACAAGTCCCTGCTTTGTTCTATACACATGGGTGGTTCATCTGTGGTTGGATTTACCATCTCTAGGAGCGCTGTGTCCATTGGAACGCGCACTGCTGGAAGCAGAGCTCTTGCTGCTGCCTGTTGTACATTGAAGCTCTGAGATCTTTTGTGTTGGTTACATGGACGCAAGGAAGGGGACTAAAGTCACAGTTGACTTTGTATTTGGAACAAGAGCCCTTTAATCTGGCCTGCCCTCTAACTCCTCCAGGACAAGCATGTACTGATTAGCATGTGGCATAGATTGGCTTGGCAGTGTGAGCATGGGCTTGCGTTGCACGAGCTTAGCTTGCTCCACTTTGTTCTCGAGTAAGGCACTTCACTTCTTGTGCCTCATTTTCTATAAGATCAGGCAGCAACTCCAGCAACTCGCTGGAATAACAGCTGGAAACAAGAAATGGCCACGTTAAGTGCTCAAAAGTATTTGCAAAAGAACTGCACATCATCAGTGTATTTCATAAAAATAATTGTGTTTATTTGTTAGGGCTTTTGTGTTGTGTTTTCTCAAATTTTCTCTTTGGTAGCTAGTGCATGCCCAGTTTTCGTTAAAAAGATTTATACTGCAATCCCATCTGAAGCTGTTAAGTTCCTTTTTTCCGGGATCTAAATGCCCACTTTTTCTTTCATAGCTAGCTTAGTGCTGTTCTGTATACATCCAGATGTGCAAGATACATGAGCAATTCATTGGCTTAGGTACTGGTATACTGATACCATTGATTAAAGTAAGATCATTTAGCATGCAGAATCACAGATACAGAGCTTTGGTTCTGGAAAGTGATAGCATTCATGCTTGCAAAGCACTGCTTTCCTGGCAGAGAACAGAAACTTCTTACATCTCCATCCATAGTAGGAATCATATGGAGGAAGAGCTCAGGGGGAGGGAGGGAGCTACATGTTCTGTTGAGCTTCATTCTCTTAGCTGAAAGATTCCTGTCTGAGCAGTGTCCGGATTACCTCCTAGAGGGAAATGAAGAGATGCAGTTTAATCTCTCTGGTTTTCTGCAGTAAAGAGAAAGGTTGAATTGCAATGTGCAAGTCTGAGTAGATTTGGAGTTTCATAACCCCTCTGACGGTAAAGTTCTGCCTGACTGGCTGTTGCTTCAATTACAAGGCATATGGACCTCAGGTAGGATGTTGAAATGGATAAAAGAAATAAAATTGTTCTGCACAATCCAGGCTGTAGCAGTGTATTGTGTATAAATGAGTTTTCAGCCTACAATGAAACTCAGCGTGGAGGTCAGGCTGCATCAGCTCCCCTTCAAAGCCTCTGCAGGGTTGCTAGTACAATTTTTGTTTCTCAGTTTTACCCAGCTCTGCTAGGCAGCTGAACATTACTGGTCTTCTCAGTGCTCGCTTGGGACGTTTTGCTGCAGTTAATGTCAGTAAATGATAGAGTGAACTTTGAAAGAATTTTGTTATTTGGAGAAGAGGAGGAACTGCTGGAAATGGAGAGATGAGGGTAGGATTAGAGGGAAAAAAAGGAACTTCTGAATATTGGGTTGTCATAGATCCACTCAGCTATAAGTGAATAAAAAAGGTATTTTGATGACTGTACTATCTCCCTTATGTTCCTTTTTGCGGCTCTAGCCTGAGATGATGTTAAGTTGCTTCCTCTCTGAAAAGCTGTTGTGGTACTTCTGCTGTCATTATTTAAATAGGTTCTTCCTTCTGTCCTGAAAGTGGCTCTAGGGAATGGTATTGCACAGAGTCGGGGAGGTTTTGTAAAGCTTTTGAAGATCTGTCAGGATGAAAGGAGCCATGTAAAAATGTTTTGGTATTAATAAATCTGATTACATTGTAAGACTAAAAATTGGCAAACCTGAACCATTCATTTAAAAAGCTAAATTGTGATAATTTTCCATTTGAAAAGAATGGATTTCATGAAAGAAAACTGCAAATATCTGGCAGATGTGATTGGAAAACATATATAAAATAAGTTTATCGGTTTGCAGTTCAGCCTCTCAGCATCTATAGTCTTAAAAATGCAGCAAGTGAAACGTCACCTGGCTATTTACAAAATAGCTCGAGTCTGTTTCTCAAAATACATGCTGTGAATTTGTTTTTCAAACTGGTTAATGTTGGCAAATATTAAATAATTTCTATATGAGCACATGCTCTGAATTTATAAGAGTTTGGCAGCTTCTTCTAACGCTGTAACAAGTTTACTGACTCATGTAAGATGTTGTAACATTTTGGTAAGAAAATCGTTGCTGGATGCGTTTGTTCTGGGATATTATGGACCCAAGTCAGATATGTATTTTGGCAAAATAAATGTCCCTCTTTTTTTTCTCTCTTTTTCTCTTATTTTTTTCAGTAGGATATACTAAAACATATTTTAATAGTTTCAAGAATAACCATTTTTTATCACTAGCTAGGCACAACCCAGAACAAGCATGTTCCCTGTTTACAGCGACTGCATTGCTGAAGAATTTGCAAAAGAAATACGGTAATGAGAGCATGCTATTGGAGTTGTGCCTGTATATACTTTTTAATATGACAGTAGATAGTATATGTGCTCCGTCTGTGCCCTGTTCTTTCAGTTGTTATGAGGTTACTCTTCTGAAATGAATTGTGCTAGGTAGATACAAAACGCACCTATCACTTGTCTATTATGCAACTGGAAAGTGGAAAAAGTATGGGCTGCGTGAGTAAAATGAGATACGCTGCAGGGAGTGGTCCAGACCCCGTAGCAAGTCTTGCCCAGCAGGCTAGTGGCCCTGCTGCTTCACTACTGGAGCACTGAGCAGTGTGGGAAAAGGCTTGTTAGGCTGGGTGCAGCGTCAGATCCCGGCTGGTTCTGTACATCTGTTCACTGTAGAGTTTCAAGACATGCAGAAAGAGGGCACAGAGACTGTGGCTCAGCACTGTCAGCTTGCATGCAGCATACCTTGAGCTAATAAGCCCAGCTAGATTTGAGCCAGCTTTTTGTGGACCAGAGGGGGATGTACCTGCATCACAACTCCTGGTTTCAGGGAAGCAGTACAGTAATACCATGATGGCTTTTCGAGGGCTTGGCTTAGATCCAGGTGCTTTTATTTCCTCTAGCTGTATACCACTGTGCTATTTCCAGAGCCAAATTCATAACTCTGCAGGACCCAAACTGGCTCTGTATCTAGGGTGTAAATTGTTTCTAGCTTCAATGAACCAACTATAGATAATTGGAAAGTATTGTCATTGTGTAGGAATAGATTAAGTCAAATAGGTTGTAATAGTGGCTATAGGAGCCAGAATCTGGAGTTGTTCATGGTTCAGACTGGTACAATATGGAAACAGCATTGCAGATTTTCCTGTTACGTCTCAATTAGAGGAAGGAACGTTCACTTTCAAATACCAGAGGGGTCTTAATTGTCTGTGGCTCATTTGATTCCTCTTCTTTCTGTGTCTCATAGCATGTTCTCTTTCCTGTTCCTTCAAAGCACCATCTGCTAATAGAGTCAGTAATGTTACTGACCTCTGGTTGGTATGCATTATTTCTGATCTCCTCCATTCTACAGCAGGATGGAGGGCATAGTGAATGTTTTGGAACTTTTTCCTATTTTACTTCAAACTCCCTGTTATAGAAGGTTTCTCTTGGGGAAGACAAATAAAAGAAATATGAAGGATTTTAAAGATTAAATCTGTGTTGGCAATTAATGTGATATAATAGGAGTGGAACAGCAGATGAAAGTAGTTGGTGCTGAGGGCTCTCACGTTTCTGTTTTATGCAGTTCAGGAGTGTATACGTGTATGTATGCATGTGTAAGGTTTACTTTGGATTGTTGTTCCAAGACCAAAGCTTGTATTTTTGGCTCTTTTTGGTGACACTGAAAATAAGGCTTAGAATTAGAACTATGAGGAAGATAACTTTTTGTTCCTTGTTTTTCATTTTTTCTGTAGTTTTATTTTATATGCTTACTCGTGAAACTTCGGCAAGAAGCTATCCCTTTATCTTTTAAGTCAGCGTAAAAGAACGTCATTGATCTCCTATCCAAAGACAACTTGTTGAGAGGTGTTTGGGTTGGAGAACGTACCAATTCTGGTGCCACTGGTCGTTAGCTTAGTTTTTCTTTCCTGGAGAAGAAATTAGAGGCTATGAGGTTAATCTCAGTTCATCACTTCTCCTTCTGATAATGAAACAGATGTATCCTGTCTATGCAAAGGATCTTGGATATAGGACAAGTATGGCAGTGAGTACTTCAAGCTGGAGTAAATAAAGGGTTTGTTCAGAGGAGCTTTGAAGTGATAATGTTTTGAAGAGGTGATTCGTTGAGTGATGTATTTTGAGCCAAAAAATTATTCATGTTTTGCAAGAGTTGGAAACCTCTGAGCCAAACATGATAAGAGTAGAAACAGAATACGTCAGGGTCAAGAGATGGGTCACTGTGAAAAGTCAGTTTTGATCCAGCATTTACTGGGCATGTCGGCCAAGTGTACTGCCTTCGTGAAGGTGTTTTGGTTGAAGATATTTTGCCTCGTACCAGAGAAAAGACTTTTGCCTCTTTCCGCTTAAAATCTGTGTAAAGAACTGCATTGAGTTCTGTAGGCCTGCCCATAGGTACAAGTGGAGAGCAGAAACACCTTTCTGTGATGTGAGGATGAACACTGGCACAGTGCTGTGTTGGGATCCATACCTTTCTCCTCTTTCCTCTACTTCCCTTTCTCCTATCTACAGGTTTTTGGGGAGGTGCCGGAAAGAGAAGTTGCTAGTTACCTCCCTGTTCTGGGGAGATTAATTTATATCCTTCTATTTTGTTGCCATTTTGGTCCAGTCTGTATTAGAAAACTCCAGGGAAGCAGCTAGACAAAAGTCATATTCCCCCAGTCTGTAGCCAATGAGCACTTTTTTGTAAATTCAAAACAGTATTGAAGTCCACCCTGGGCCTTGGAGCCTCTCTAGTCCTTTGCCTTTAAAAACTGTTTTCAGATGGGGCAATTCTTTTTGTTTTGAGGGCCATATTAAGCATGTGTCCTTTTAGGATGAAAAGGTTTTCTTGAAGAAGAAAGGTTTCCTATATTTCCTAGTGATCATCAGGCTCTTCCCTTGTCCAGTTTTCCTGGAAGTTCATTCCGCTGTTAGATTGCCTTCAGACGAGAAGACTCAGTCTCTTGCAAGTTTGACACGGATAATTGTGCTCTGATCTTTCCCAGATGCCGTGGGGCTGGGACTACTCTGGATCATCCAACTTAACTGAACTGAAAGTTTTACTGGAAGAGTCTATCATGATCCGACGTCTGAAATCAGATGTGCTTTCCCAGCTTCCAGCAAAGCAACGCAAAATGGTTGTGGTGGCTCCTGAAGGCATTAACGCAAAGACCAAAGCTGTCTTGGCAGCTGCAGCAACAAAGATGGCCAAAGGATATGAAAGTGTAAGTCAGAAATTGTTTTCATGAGGAGCCATTGGTATTTCATGTGCTTTTATTTTTTCAGGTTGGGATAACTTTTTTTTTTTTGATTGAATTAAAAACGTCAGTGGAAAGCAGTGTCCCCTGTTCCAAGGAACGCTATATCCCACATGAACGCACAACTAAAAGCTGTTGAGAGCACAATTTTAAATGAATATACAGCACAATCAAAACAGATCGGCTTTTTCCCCCCCCTCTTTAGATTTAAGTGCTTTGATTTGGCCCTTTGTGTCAAATATCGTTTGCTCTCTCTTTTTTCCCCTCTTATTAGTGCTTTGTAATTGTCTTTTATGCCTCTTTTGCCTCTCTGCTTACTCTTCTGTCTTGCCTTGTATCCCATCCACCTTACAAAGCCTGTTGAAGCTGCATTGTGGAAGACAGCCGTAGCCAAAAAGGTGAAGAATGTATTTTTACATTTGTTTTTCTTCTATGGATGGCAAATGCATATCCTAAGCTCCTGTATTTCTAATGTAGTTCTGTGAGGACTTGGGAGTGTTTCTTGCCGTTTTAGTTGGGAAATGCTTTCCCAGATGCCGTGGGGCTGGGACTACTCTGGATCATCCAACTTAACTGAACTGAAAGTTTTACTGGAAGAGTCTATCATGATCCGACGTCTGAAATCAGATGTGCTTTCCCAGCTTCCAGCAAAGAAGCTTTGCTTGTATTTAGCAAAGAAATGCTTTCCCAACTAAAACTATGTTTGTAATATGCTTATCATCTGACTTGTAGGAGTTGAGTTGGGAGTAGGAAGGGAGGTGGTCACAGAAGTAGGAACGTGTGAGTATCTGCCATGCACAGCGGTAGCAGAAGACCCCCCCACATTGTGTGTTTTAGGCTGATTTTTCCTAGCACAGTATTTGTTGGCAACATCAGACATCCCAGATCTGTAAGAAAGAAGAAGAAAAGGTAATTCTGAGAGTCACGTAAATTTATCTTCCTCTCTGCAGAAACAACAGGAAAAGGAAGCTCTTCTCCTCTTCTACAGCAGAACGGCAGAAGCTAAAATCCACTCAGTTGTGTAAGCTGCATGTCTTTGCTTCGTTCTTACCTAGTAAAATGTATTTTTTCGTTGAGAACAGGAACACGGTGCCTTAGAGATAACAGTGAAGGGACATGAAGCATAGCCTCAAGCCAGCTCAAAAAAAAAAATTGATTTTAATTACAATGCACTAAACGTTTTCTTCTCTCAGAGTTCCTAGGCTGAATGAGTCTTCTGATTTCATTCCAGATATGGATCTAAGCAGTGTCAATTGAACCATCTAAAATTACTCGATGTTTGGGACTTGGATCCAGTTCCCTGGTTCAGACCCTGTTTCAGTTTGGGGAGGGGTAGAAGTATCAACAGAATTTAAGGAAAACAAACACTGCAGTCCTGCTGCAGCAGAAACCCTGAGCCAAAAAGCTTATGAGACGGATCGAGCTTTAGCTTTAGCGTGCTCTAAGGATGTCACAACCCCTCTTGAAGCTCTTAGCTCCTCCACAGAGCTTACGTGGGACCTTAGTAACAAAAGTTTTCTCCCACAGGTGTGCTGTGACCTCTGTCCTCCCTAGGAATACTTTCCTCTGTGACTTTTCATGCCCTTTCATCCTTAGTCTTTCTGCTGTGACTGCAAAGGAGTCACATTAAGTCATTTTGGATGACTTATTAAAAAGAAAGACGCTAATAGCATACCAACAGTTTACTGCTTGTGGCCCCACTGAATGTAAAGACCAGCCGATGCGCGCTGTGTGATTTCACAGTCTCAGACCTTGCTGCGGAATCTGTCTGTTGCCAAACTGTTACCAAACAGAACTGCACCTCAGAGTCCCAGCTCTCATTTCTTCAGAAGAGTTTCTTCCTTTTATGTCAGTGAACAGTTAAAGAGTTTCTTCCTTTTATATTCAGTTGCAAGTGTGAACTGAGTATAAGACTGTGAAGTGGTGTTTACTTGACTCTGTAGACACTGAGACAGGAGATAATCCACTAATTTCTGGGGTTTTAGTAGCATTTAAAATATCATTTATTATAACTTGATCATGTACAGTGCCATCTAGCTATCACTACTGTCCTGTGATCGTCAGCACCTCCTATGCCTTGCCCTTGATGACAGTTTTTTTTACAGGGCTGCTGTGCACAGTCACTGAAACGACTGGCCGTTTGTTAAATGGATGTATGAGGATGAGATATTAAATAATTGTAATGTCTTGGCATCTAGTTGCTACACTGAATGTTCATTTTGATATTTGTTTTGGTTTAAACCCAGCAGTCCCCCTCTTCCCCCAGCTGTCTTTGTTAAAAGGTACTATCATAATTGGGATCTGAACATTACAGAACTCACAGAGTTGGCTGTAAAACACTGATCCATCTTAATATAGTGCTGGAAATCCCACTTGGTGTTTTCTGCCAGTTGCTGCTGACCTAAGCTGTGTTGTATTTAGCAAAGAACTTGGTAATCCTGATTTTGGCAACAGCTTGGCTGTTCTAGAGAAATGACATTTGTATCATCTGCTCTGATGAGTGTCACTATACTTAGTTACAAATTTTAGGCTTTTAGGTGTTTTTCAGGCTCCAGTTTATAGTTAATCTGATTACTTTATGAGTTGCTGCCTATTGGCTGAACTGCAGAACCCATTTATATGTACACTGTTAGTCTATGGCAAATGCCAAATGTTTTGATTTAATTAACCCTATTTAACTGCATTTAAAAGGAGTCTTGCTCCCTCTCATTTGTCATTGGCTAATATGCATATGCATGGTTTCTAGAAAGAGCTGATGTATATAGCTTGTTAGGCTGTGGTAAATTGTCAATTTGAAGAAAGCAGCTTTCAGGATACTCTGCCGCCATGTGTTTAGAGACTTTTTCTTCTAAAATGAATGCAATTCTAAGTAAACATAGGAAGGGCAGTTGCCTACAGATTACTACGCAGGAGTTAACTAACTTATTCACTCGTCTATGTTTTTAAGTTAGTATAGGTGACTTCCAGTGGATTGGTCGACGAAGTCATTTTTCAAGTAGGATATAATCAAATGGTTCTTGGTGATAGACAACTGCCTGTATTTATATTTGTGTATCTGTGGTCCAGAAAAAGGAATGGATTTTCCTACAGACGGTCATTCTTTTAATTTGTAGAGGATTCGTTTGCTATTTGCATAGTAACGCAGCTTTTTATGCTAACCTGTTTTCTAGTTTTTGTACATGGATGAGCTGTAACTTTTAAATCTGCTGTGGGCAAAGCCTGAATTCTCTCAGCACGTAACTCAGAGTTTTGGGTTTTTCTCCTCTTTAATGTAGAGAATATATCCTGGAGTTACTGGAGAGTGGGAAAGATAAATTCCTGGTGTTTGCTCATCACAAGATAGTGCTGGATGCAATAGTTGCAGAGCTGGAGAAGAAAGTAAGTGCTTGACTGAGACTCATATTAACTTCATTACTGTTCCAACTTTAAAGCTGTTTAAGAGCTCCCGAGGGTTATGGCCAGTCAGTTAGTTTATGAAAGTTAGTGGCAGAGATGGTTTCTACTTGCTGCACTTCTGAATGTGCCCTTCACTGGGGCAGCTGAGCTGTCAGAGTGAAAGTGCCTCATGGGATGCACTTTGTATTAGCTGAAGGGCTTTTGCTGTATTTAATGTTCTTAGCATCATCTGGCTTGGAGCATGTGGACTGTCTGGAAAAGTTTTACCGTGTATGGCCATTTCTGTTTTTCCTCAGGCTTTGCTCAGTAGAGGGAGAAGGTAACAACAACATAAGCCCAGGCTGCCTTTCTCTGACTCTGTGGTGCTCTTACATTTTTGAATTGGCCTACCATAGGAGGACTGCGTAGATCTGAGAGATGATTTCTCTGGGATTATAGGTCTAGGTGGGAGTTTCCCTGCTTATCTCATCTGATTTATTAGCCCTTTAAACATAAAGAGGTTGGACAGTGGAGAGTGATGGTCCTGCATCATCCAGTTTTTTTGCATCTCTCCTGAGGGTTCAACTAAGATTTGTAAGATCCCGTGTCCTCACGCTGCAAACAGTGGAGAAGACTTGGGAGAGGTTATGGCAGGTATAACATCAGTGAGTGGGCAATGTTCAGCTCGTGGCAAACCAGTTCCCTTTTCACTGTACCCGAGTTGCCAGCTTGTTGCTGTTCTTTTTGTTACTCAAGTCTGGTGGAGGAGCAGTGAAGCACAGAAGCAAGTCATACATTGTGAACAGAGGTGAGGTACCAGTAAGTGCTGAGCTACAGTGCCTGCACTTCAAAAATAGGGAAAGGTATTAATAAGGCAATGATTTGAGGTTTTTTTTTTTTTGTTTAACTTTGCTAGCCCTGGTATGGGGAAGGGAAGCAAAATTTCTCTAGAACATGGAAGCAGGAGACAAGGACAAGGGAAAGGGGATACAAGGCAGCTAAGTGTCTTCCTCCTCTGCCTTTTTCTCAGCGTGTTGAATACATTCGTGTTGATGGCTCTACACCTTCAGCTGAGCGGCAGTCTCTGTGCCAGAAGTTCCAGTTCTCAGAGAAGCAGATTGTGGCTGTCCTGTCCCTCACTGCTGCAAACATGGGCCTGACGTTGTCTGCTGCAGACCTGGTGGTGTTTGCAGAGCTCTTCTGGAATCCAGGGGTACGGTTTCTGGAGGGAAGATGGACTAGATGCTGCCTGCTGAGCAGAAATGTTGGAGCCTGGGGAGGAGATGTGGTGGGCAGGGTTTTTCCTCTAGGGTTTTCTCTTTCTTTCCCTAATACTTGTCTGTGCACACCCGGCTTCCTGTGCTAGAACCAGTGAGGCTAGTTAAACAGCTCACTGGCTGGAAAGGATGACCTAAAAGGGAAACAGATTCCTGCTTCTTAACTTGGCAGAGCTGTTGTTAGCTCCTCCTGCCTAGCCAAGACCTGAAAAGGCCCATCATCAATACTGACCCTTTGCTTTTCTCCGTAAGCAGGGGGAGCATAGATTTTCCCTGGCTTAGTTATCAGTTTGCCTTAATTGCAGCCACACATGTCTGTCTTTACACCTGGCAGCAAACACCTAGGGACAAGGGCTCTGTGAGTGAATGCAGCTTGTGGACAGCCCTTGGCAGTCAGCTTGTGGAGGCAGCGCTCCATGTTCAAGAGAGTTCAAGTATCTCTGCATAATCTTATGTTACTCCGCAGTCTCCTGGGGGTGAGTCCTACATCAGGAGCCTCATTCCCTGAATTACTTAAGTCCTGCTGACTATAGTGAGGAGGAGGGTTTAAAGCAGCTTGTGGGAAGTGCTCAGTACCTTTTAGGGGGACTGCCGCACTGAGTAGCTTCTTGGCTTAGTCTGTGTTGGCGGTTCTAGGTGTTAGCAGGATCCAGACAAGAAATAGTCACTAAGCACAAGAAAGGAGAGCTCCCGGTTCTCTGGTTCTTATGTTATTCCTTATATGTTGAAGTTCTCACTTCATTTTCTTTGTCGTCTTTTTACATAAAGATTTTGATCCAAGCAGAAGATCGGGCACATCGAATTGGACAGACTGGCTCTGTTAATGTTCACTACCTGGTGGCTAAAGGCACAGCAGATGACTTCTTATGGTAGGAAGCGGAGAGAGCCCCTTCTGGTTCTCCTCCCTGTTTTCACTGTTTGTCACATATGTGACTTAGGTTGCTTAATGTCAGCACTGGTTTTCAACTCTGTGAGGGGAGAAACAGTAATTGTCACCTAGGGCTGCTGTGAGCTGGTAACATGGCCTGGCCACAGTGGACATAACTAAGTGGGTGATGGGCAGGACAAAGAAAGGGCTGTTGAAAAATTTTGGGAGAGTTAATGAACCTTCACAGGTTCTGAGTAAAGAGAAGGAAGTGTCTTAGATATAGCCCAGAGCATTTGTATGCTGGGGTACTGTGAGTACTTTCCAGCGAAGGCAAAAGGGGCTGGAGATCGTTTAATGTATTGTGGATCAGGTCTGAACAGCAATCTGGCTGCCAAGTTCTTAGGCAGGGAGCTGCAGAGGGCTGCACTGCTGCTTTCCTCTTGCTCCTCGGTGAGCCCTTCGAATGAGTTCAAGAAGTGCTGCTGGCCTGCCTCTGGGGAAATGTGGTCTGAGCTTCACGGGTTGTGGTGGGGGCTGTCAGTGTGCAGCAGTCACTGGAGCAAGGGCATCTGACATCCTGGAGAAATGGATGATCTGGGGAATCCTTAATGCTGCAAGGGAACTGACCTGCAAATGTTAAAAAGAAATTATCTGGCAGCTGGTTCATTTAAAGTCCAAAATTACAGCTTTTATTACCTCATTTAAAAGAACGAATGAACTGAGTGAACTTGTGCAGTTCCCAGAATATCATGATGGCAAATAATTACAACCCTACAATGCAGAGATCTGGAGACTGATGCACTGCCCGCGTTTCACGAAAAGTTAATGACAACAATTCTGCCTTTATTTGTGAAATTCTGTCCATGCAGTTGTTAATGCTTAACTGGAAGGAAATGTGGCTTTTCAAAGAAGGACAGTGGCATCCTTTTTTAAGGGGAGAGAGAGAACAAGAAGACAAGGCTATTTGGCAAATGTATTAATTGTTCTTCTGTGCTGTGGCCTTTGCTCCTTTCAGAGTGTCCAGTCTGGAGATGAGTTTGGGACCTCTCTAGGCCTTTTGGGCCAGTGTTATCCTTTCACTGGCTTGGAGCTGGATTCTTCCCATAGTACATTGGGAGGTACCCTGGAAATGCTGGTGTGGCTGTTGATAGAGATTACTGTTGCCTGTCTTGGAGACCGAACACTGCCTGTAAAGAATCCCTTTAACTGCATCCTCTTGTTTTGACTTTATCATCGGTGTTGCCACAGTCAACTGCTTTTCTTCCTGAACATGTCTCCTCTCCCCCCCCCCCCCCCCAAATACTTATAGCCTGAAATCACGTTCTCTTCTTGTTTGTTGCTTATTGGATTGATCGATATGCTAGGGCAGTACGATCATCATAAACAAGATCAGGACAGGGTAAGGGGCTAACAAGCACTTGCAGAAAAGTTATCTTTTATACCCCTATCGTATCTTTCTTTATCTGCTCATAGTAAATGACACAGGGACCCTCTGCTTGGATCATGGTATCTTGCATGATATTTTCATTCTTCTAGTAACACCTGCATTTATCACTCCTAGGCCAATGATTCAAGAGAAAATAAAAGTGCTGGGTGAAGCTGGTCTTTCTGAAGCCAATTTCTCTGAAACGGCTGAACCTACTGACTACTACCCTAAGGTAATTGAAAAAACTCCTGAAAGAACATCAGTTCTTTCTGGGAGTCTCTTCTCTGGGAGGGGCTGAACGGGCTTTGGCTTGTGTACATCTAGATTGACAGGTGATTGGCAGGCTGACCTGACACCTTTCTGCCTTAAATGCCACAGACCAGATTCTACAACTCCTTCCTGGATCCATACTTTGACTTAGACTCTCCAAACCGTTTCCAACCCTACTGTGGGGAAGGAGATATGAGAGCCTCTGCAGCAGCGCTCTCCCTCATCAGAGTCTATGGCATTTGCTCTGCACAGATGAGAACGATGGGAGGAAAGGATGGTGTGGGTGTAGGCATTTTAGAGCAATATGGGGTCCCTCTCTGGATCTGCAGATCTCGTGCTGTTAATGTAACTGTGGGCTGTATTACTTTTACTGTCAAAGCCCCTCTTCTTCCTACAAAGATCTGGCAGGGCACGACCGGGTACGACCCCTGGCAGTGAGGCCTTCCTGTAGGGATCTCTGGCTGCCTGCAGCTCTCCCAAGTAGGTTTTTGGGGGGAAAGAGGATCTCTACTCTGTACCCTGAGGGAGTAAGCCCTGCTGCCGGTGATCACATCTCTGATGGGGGGGATTGTTGCAGAAGTTTATACAGAGAAGGTGCCTTCTACAGACTCTTTCCTTCTCTTTGAAGATGCCATGGTATTTTGCATATCTACCCTTTGCTGGCAGGAAGGTAATGGCATGCGATTTTGTATAGGGTTCAGACTCAGCCAAGACTGAATTCGTCCTGCATCCCAGCACCCAAGCGTAGCCGTATCACCTCTGGACTTGAATTGTCTGTTGGCTAGCGAAGCTGGAAAGGGGCTAGGAAAGTGGGAATGCTGTGTTATTGTCACTTGCTATGTTTTTATTTGACAGTGCATATGGATATTCTGTCTATTCTAATTTCTCAGTCAGATCCAAAGCAGAAGACCATCTATGACCTTTTCCAGAGGACTTTCTCTAAGAACAGAGATGACACTGATGAAGTTTTACTCTTTGAGGCAGCTAATGCCTGCTGTGACATTGATCCTGAAAGTGCCTTGCAGGATATGGAAGGAGAGAGATGCTCAGTGAGTCCCCCTAAAAAACGGCGTATTGAGGAGTTTTTTAAAGTTTAATGGTGGCAACAAAAGAAAAGGTGGCTAAGAGATTTTTATTTAAAAACAGCCAAGGGAATCAATGCATTGTTTTTGAGTTTACGGAAATAAAATGACTTTGGGTGGGTTTTCCTGTATCTCTAGTGTGTTTCACTTCAAAGGATTAGGAGAGAAGGCAGCCTGACAGCATGACAGATGAACGTGGGGCTTGCAGCCTGCAGGTTTGCAGTCCTGGTTTTGCTGGTGACTGAGGGGCCATGGGCAAGTATCACGCTGCTTTGTTTCAACACCTCAGCTTCCACAGTTGTTTTGTTTAAAAAGCAAATAGATAATGTTCATCCGCATGACAGAGCTATTGCGAAGACTAATGTCTCGGCAGCTGTAGAGTGCTCTGAGGAATCCAAGCTCTCTGCAGAGGGCTGCTGTAGTCTCAAAGAATTTTTGTTTTTATTTATAGGAGTTGGTTTTTGGCAAAATTTGGCCCTTGTTTGGGTTACTCACAAACTGGCTATCCGGTGTTTATTTTGTCAGTGAGGAGAAAAGAAATCTGGGTCCCGACAAATCTTGATGTTTTGTGAAGGCGGAGGGAGGAGGGAGAGCCCCAGACCTTTGTGTGTGCAGGGCAGTCAGTACCTTGGAGCCAAGTTGCTGAGCTGTCTAACAGCAGGTGTGTATGGCCAGTTAGGCACACATCCTCCCAGGCATGCTGACCTCTGGCCTTATCTGCTAAATCTTATCCCACAAATCTGCTCTATGGCATGTGCTTCTTGCTTGTGGGGAGGGTGAAGGCTGGGCTGACTGCTAGTGATTAAACTTGACTGCCCAGGGGTGGGTGTGTGTGTGTGTGTGCACACGTTTCCTTTCTTTAAGATTCAAGACTGACTTTCACAGATGAGTGAGGAGAGGGGGATGTGTGCAGACTTTTCTCTTTTTGTAAGACCAGAAAAAAAATGATTCTGAACGATTCTGAATGAAGCTGCTTACATTAAAAAGTTGTTTTAACTCATAGCTCCCAAGCTTTTGGTGCTTTTTCTATTTTAGAATTTCATCTCCCTATTGGACCATAAGCTTGAGAAATACATACTAATGTTTATCTTAAACGTATACAGTGACTACAGGATTGGTCTCTTTGGGGACATTTCCTTTTGGGCCTTCTAAAATGCGTCAGCCTTCAAAAGGGAAGCTCCTGTGATGTTTGCTTATAGGTGAATCACCACCTACTTCCATATGACATGTAGGCTGGTAGCTGAGGACCTGTTATTCACTCCGTTTACGTATCTGTGCTGGCTATGCTGAGAGTGCTAGAAGCAGCGCTGTTGCTTGATACAGTGATTCCAATGCTTGTTTGATTTTCCTATAGTCTTCGTTGTTCACAGCATTGTCAGTGCTGTGAATTGGGAGACCTGAACTCTGAGCCCCTCTCATTCCTTTCAGGAGTTTCCGTGACAAAATCCCAGTCCCTTGTGAGTAGCCTGATTCCGTCTTACCGCAGTGATGCCTCTGCAGAACTTCTACAGGCCACTATTGATGTAAAGACAAATGGCTCTGTGTATCATGGCTAATCTTTTGAGGTATCTCTGCGCAGTCATCTTTCATTTCTTGTGTACTGTTGCCAGTGCAGTGTAACGTGATCCCAAATTCATGCCTTTCCCCCTTCTGGTCTTAGTCCTGGATGATACTTGGTAATGGGCTAGCGTCAGCAAATGCTACAAGGGAGTAGGGGAGAAGGTATAATTTCATGGAGGTTCCAGTTATCTATATTTGATGGCCATAATCTTTGGAGAGAGCAGGGAGGGAGAGGGGAGGCAAAGCTCAAGGCTTACATCTAGCTTCTGGATGCCAGGAGCTAACATACTGGGTAGGTAGGTTACTTGATTGTGGGCAGCTACCAGATACCAGCAGAAAGCCTGCTCTTTTACTATAGAGGAGCATAAGGTCCGTGCTACAAGATCAACCTGATAATAAGTGGGATATTTCTTCCTGCATTAAAGGGTTTGATTACCCCATTTACAGCAAGTGTAGTCATGGAAATGCCCTACAGGCTGTGCGTGCAGTTGTGCTGGTAGAGACTGTTGCAGTTCATTCATGACTGTACGAAAGGTGCTTTGATGTGTGTACAAGTGAAGAAAGAGTAGGAGCAAGGAATGTGTGACTGGGCGATTGAGGGAAATGCTTTGTTTCTGGGTTTCAGAGTTAAAGCTAAACGTCGTTTCTCTTGCTCCAACAACTGGCCAGGAGATAAATGCATGCTTTGTTTCTAAATGGCTTTTTTCTTGAGCATGAAGTATTTAATCTGTTTCTAGGACACGTGACCTTTCCTTTCAGGGAAGGTTGTTCTGAGTTAGGGGTGAGAAATGTTGCCATCTGCCTACTGGAAAAAAGAAAAGGAAGACCTTATTTGTGTGCCGGTATTGTCATCTTCTATAGGAAAAATTCTCTTCCTCCTTGTAAAGCTACAGCAAAATAGTATTTTTTCTGAAATCTGCTGAAAGTACCCTTGGAGAATTCTGCTTCTCATAAACTCAATTTGTCTTACCCATATATTGATAAATCCCAGCCCTGTTAGAAGAATGCTAGGTGTACCTCTTTGATAATGACCCATAAAATCTCAGCTTGATTGCTTCATAGTTACAAAGGCTCTTCAAATACACTTGAGATGCACTTTATGTTTGCTAGATTAAAAAGGAAGAAAGAATCTCTTGCAGAGGAGTGCTTTTAGTCGTTACATCAAGGGACTGGAAAGATTCTGCGTGCCTTCCTTAGCCCAATTATGCTATTAGTCTTTCATTAGTATGATGAGGAGGTGGTTGGGATGCAGCCAGCAGGCTCACATAGGATCTCCAAGGCTTGCTGATGAGAAGTTGTACGCGGCAGTCTGCAGGTTGCCAGCAAGGCCCACGTGCAGACTCAGGAACATGCAACGCTCCTGGGGCCTCCTACACCTGCCCATCAAAGACAGTATAGCCATAACTTCTCAGCATTGTCGAAAGCCCAGTGAAGTCAATAGAAGGACCTGTGGAAAGTTCTTGACACCTGTGGTTTCTTCTGGGCCTCCGTTCTTCAGCTCTTAAAGAGGATGTCTTTTGGAGTTCTTTCATCTTATTTTGTTATTCTGTATGTTTTGGGAGCTCTTTAAGGCAAAGCCGTCTCCTACGTGATCTAGTGCATTAGGCTATCTTGATGCTGTCACAATATAAGTGAAAAAGGACAGTAAATACGTCGATCGCCCTGCTATATGAGAAACGCTGTTAGGGCAACAACAACATTGAGTATCCTATGTGTGTTTGAATTTGGAAGAACTCAGAACTGCAGCCGTTTTACTACTGTTCTGGAACTGAGCTTGGGTCTCGGAGCATCTTGCCAAGACTATTTACTTCCTTGTACGCATATATCTGTATTCTCACCCACTTAATAGGACGACACGTTTTTAGGAAGGATGCCCAACCGGAAAAAACAGGTAACAGAACCTCAGCAATGAAATGGAGCAGTTTGAGCTACTGCTGCAGTATGTACAGCTGGCCAGTCTGGCACATGCAGAAGACTTCAAGGTGGCAAACTGACAAGACAGGGATGTTGAAACTGTGCTGGCCTGTCTACATTCATCCTGTCTTCACAGTCACTTGGGGATATGCTTTTATTGTGGTAGTGCTGGGAGATGGCTGTAGTCTGAGAGGGCTGGATTTGGTTATGGGCAGAGCTGTCGTACCCTTTGTCTACCAGTGTTATAGACAAGTCACTGTATTCACACAGAAAACTAATTTTGTAGATATAGACTGGAGAATACCAGTAGATTCTCTGTCCTGGATGTCTTAGCTGACAGACTTGTTTACCAAATAGCCAAAGGATCTTTTTTTGTTTACTATGTTGGTATTTGAAGATTTATCCTGTGAGTCGTCATTATGACGAGCATGTGAAAAGGGCAGATATGGTCCTAAGATGTGTCGGAAGAGAGATTTCCACTCAACAGAGGAAGATATAAATACCAATGCCTAAAGCCCTGCTGAGCCCTCATCTGGAACACGGCCCTGGCCCACCATCTCCAGAAAGACTGCCCAAACTGGAGAATGGCTTACAGAAATGATCAGAGCAGCACACGAGAGAGAATTAAGTGCAAGCATTCAAACCCTCAAAGCAGGAGCCAAGACGGGAGATGATATCTGTCCATCTGTACCTCAAAAGTGCAAAACACCAGAGAGAGAGAAAAGCTAACGTGGTGCCAGGACCCTGGGCAGACGCTAGTCATAAGTAAGTCATAAATAAGCAGAGGTTGGAAATTAGGAAGGGGGTTGGACCTGGCAAAGGTGCGTTGTTCTGCAGGCTCCCCGTGGGAACTGCTGGGGTGAGGGACCTGGCTTACCTGGATGGCACGTAAACGGGGGTCTCCACGGTGGCTGTGACGGCAGGACGTGGTTCCCCCCCCCCTCTGACCCAGAAGGGGGGGGGGGGGGGGCCGCGGCCCCTGTCCCCACCCTCCAGCACAAGGAGGTGAGTGTTGCTACTCTGCAAGAAACATCTAGAGGTGGTTTCACCAGGTGGGCTCAGCAGTCCTCTGCTCCCTCTCTGTGGGAAATGATGAATTACGGCTGGTTTCGAGCATTAGAAAGCTCTCAGCCTAACCAGATTATTTCTTAATGGAGGTTAATGGGTGGTTAATCCTGTTATGAGCATTGCAACTCAGCGATGTCGGTGCGTGTTTCACTTGTGTGCGCCTGCTCCGCTCGGTCTGAGCGACTGAGAAATCCTTCCCTGGGCTGTGCCACCCAGACTGCGCTTTATTTCAGTGTCTGGCCCTGTGTTTTTGTATTTATGATAAAGGCAGATAGCATTTTTTTGGATGTCTGTGGCGTACTGTCTGGGCCCAGGAATCCACTTCCGAACCTGGGGCACACTGAGGTTTTATGGCTGTTTGGCTCGATACTCGGTGACCAGCAAGGAAATTTGATAGGTTGCACCTTACCATGTATCTGTGTGCTTTAAAATCTTTGTTTTGAGGGCTGGTATGTCTTAAGATTGAGAATTTATCCTCAATGTTTTCTCTTTCTTTCTCTTTCCTTCTAAAGCTCTGGTCGAGGTCGCTGTTCCTTTTTTATTCTAACTTCTACCTACTACTGGGTTTTTTTGTTGTTTTTGAAGAAAAAAGACTGAATGTAACTGCTCTATCTCTTTTCCTTTTATAATTTCCTTAGATGGAAAATCAGAAATCTGTATTCTCTGGCTAAATGCCCAATCCAGTAAAACTGGGGCCGATATGCATCAGTTTTACTGCTTGAGTGTTTGCAGGGTCCCCGCACGGATGCACAGTATTTTCTGAGTGACACCTCCTTCCCTCCCAAGCAGCAGATAAATTTCAGTTTGTGAGTTTGGAGGATTTAGGTATCCCCGTTATCGGGGGACAAACTTGTAGAATTAAGGGCGCAAAAAAAAAAAAAAAAAGCCACTCCTTGG